ACGTATATAAAAGTTACTCAACCCGAACTGATCGTAAAAGGAAGTTAATTTCTTACGATTTAACGGACTGGCCATATTCGGATATCGGTACGCTACCTCCCAAAATATCAATCACGATAAAGTTGGCAAGATAGTTGCCGTGTAAATGGAAAAACTTGTTTTTGAGAAGGGCCAATATTCAACAGTCATTCGCAATGCTTTCTTTATTACAATTTACTAGCTGTTGCCCTCGACTACGTTCGCGCGGTATTAAAAAACTTAATAGTCTATGTGTTCTTCCTGACTATGGTCTACATTTATATCCAATTTCGGGGAGGTCCATACAGTCGTTCTCGAAATACCTTTAAACGAACATCCATCCATCCATCCAAACATTCGCATTTATAATATTAGTAAGAAGTAAGATTACAAGTCGGTGACATCATGCAGTAATTTTCTCGAGCAATTTCAATTTTATTATATTTATGCGTAAATTTCTACGAGAAAGGCTTTTAGTAAAGAAACAGTTGTGTAGGGCTGAGTACAGATTAGCTGGAGCTTGGCCGCTAAGTTATTGAGGCGTGACGTACTCTTGACATCGCTGTCACATTCTAAGCTCGATCAACTTTAAAGTAACTTAATATGATTTAATTTTTATTAGGAAAAGGAAACTTGGTATGATCGCACGCTTCTCATTACATCGATTCATAGTTCCGACATGTTAGCATTTATAACAATTCTTGTAATATACCACGATATGATTTGATCATAGGCAGAGAAATTAAATGTGTAAAGGGTCGATGACCTTTGTGTGGTGGTGTTTTGAGAAAAAAGCATTGCTGTCTTAGACTCCGATTGACGTGCAAGAATTAAAAAATCTAAAATTAATGTCTTAAATTCTTATATCTCTCCGAAATGAGTTTTTAAAATAAGCATTTTATAGCAATCCAGCAATCACAACATGCGTAAGATTTTAATGGCAATTGTTAAAGGGATTGTCACACGCATTCCTTTGCGATGCACACGCGTAATGAAAACAGATGGCGCTTCATTAGCGAAAGTGGACGACAAGCTTGGCCCTTGTCGCCGTCGCCCTCGCGCCTGCCGCCGACGCGACGTAATTGAATCATTTCACAGTCTCTGCAAGACGCACTTGTTAACATTATAAACAGGATGACTTGTTTTAATTTGCAATTAAATTTTAATTGTTAAATCCTACTGGTGCTGTTATATGCCCGTATATCTAAATAACTCCAAAGAATTATTGGGTCAATGAATGAATAGGATTGTGTAGAATAGATTTACTCTAAGTACGATATATTTCATTATGTAATTAGTTATGAGCAGTTCTTTATTAATCAAGTCAATTGCCAATGTTTTGGATTTATATTATAATCATTAAATCTATTAGGTCTCTATGAATCTCGATACTTGGAACCATAACTTATAGAGTAAGAAAGATGAAACAAATCAGTGCTTTACTGTGTATGGTTGTTAGACGAGGTGCGCACGGGCACGTATCGGCAGCTGTTCCATCCGGAGCAGCTGATAACTGGCAAGGAGGACGCGGCTAACAACTACGCTCGCGGCCACTACACCATCGGCAAGGAAATCGTCGACGTCGTACTTGACCGCATCCGCAAGCTTGCTGACCAATGCACCGGCCTACAGGTAAGCAAGCTACCTTAATCATCATCATCAGCTCACTATACTCCCACACTGACGGGCTCGGAGCTAAGACAACGTTGGTTTTGTTTGTAAGATATGTAGGTACAGGTTGCATCACGATTATTTCCTTCACTGTAAGAACGTCAATTACTGTATATATGTACATCGAAAATCAAAAACCACATTGGTACATGGCGAGATTCAAACCCAGGACCTGCATGCAGATTACAAATGATGTGCTTAACCTCTGAGCCATGATGACGGTCTCTTACTTAACTTAACACTTAGTAAAAAATGAACCGGCCTATAAAACTTATACGGTATTTAGTTAGGTAAACGGTATTTTGCACGGTTCGATTTCCTTTTAATGTTTTTATAATAATTACGATGAAAGGCAACCATGCGTTAAAATTCTGTCTGAAGTTTAAGGTCTTCGTAACGAATCGGACATGTTCAGTCTACGATGCCGAACAGTGTAAGGTCAGCTCGGAATCGAGGAAAAACTTATTCGCGGTCTTTTTGACATGTAATTCAATATACATCATAATTCGATTTCGCTATGTTAAATAAGATGGTTTATCAGTCTTAAAAAGGCCTTGAATAATATTTTTTGTTTTTTGTCGATGTTTCTAAACTACTTCTGAAAATAAAGAAATCCTACTAAATAGTTCACATGCAAATAAGAAAAACATACCGATATTTTATGGTCTAAAAATCTTGATTTGCATACTACAACAATTGCACACTTTCATTGAATAAACTGCAATAAATATAACTTCTATACAACTAGTCAAGTGGAAATTTTCTTAACGCACGTTAATTAACGTTTTTCTTTCCGCTTTGGAAACAACAAAGTAAAAACAGACTCTTTTACAAACAGAGCGCTCAGGAAAAAAATTGACATTTTGAACCATCCTAAGAAAACTCTTGATAATGACTAGAGATCTTTTAAGAAATACAAAAACCCACAAGCAATACACATCTGGTTGCAATGTATCACAACTATGAGTTGATATCCCTAGGGTTTCCTGGTATTCCACTCGTTTGGCGGCGGCACCGGCTCGGGCTTCACCTCACTGCTCATGGAAAGACTGTCCGTGGACTACGGCAAGAAATCAAAACTCGAGTTCTCCATCTACCCAGCACCTCAGGTACAGATCATAGTGTCAAAATTTGTTAACTTTATTTGATTTCTAGAAGTATACTCTCCGCTATGGATGTCATAGCATCTAGTTTCATATCTATAATATGAAACTAGATGAGCATTTGTGTATCGTATACCAGGTGTCGACGGCGGTGGTGGAGCCATACAACTCAATCCTGACGACGCACACGACGCTGGAGCACTCGGACTGCGCTTTTATGGTGGACAACGAAGCCATCTATGATATCTGCCGCCGCAATCTCGACATCGAGCGTCCTACATACACCAACCTCAACCGTCTCATCGGACAGGTACTACTGCAAACCTCACCTCATTTTTCACAGTTCACTATGATGTTCAGATTTTAAAAGCCATAACAACTAGCAGCTTTTAATAGCAAAACCCTCGTAATCATTAAGTAGATATTAACAATCAGTTTTGACTAGACTAGACAAATATTCTACACTATACTCACCTTTCCTTGTAAATTTTTTTACAGATCGTGTCGTCGATCACCGCATCGCTGCGTTTCGACGGTGCACTGAACGTGGACCTGACAGAGTTCCAGACCAACCTGGTGCCGTACCCGCGCATCCACTTCCCGCTCGCCACTTACGCGCCAGTCATCTCCGCGGAGAAGGCCTACCACGAGCAGCTCACCGTCGCCGAGATCACCAACGCCTGCTTCGAGCCCGCTAACCAGGTCAAGTAAACATACTTCGAGATACATTGTAACTACAGACACTGGATATAAGTACCTCCTTGGTTGTAGACTTCCTTTAATTCGAACGTATTTAATTGCAGATGGTGAAATGTGACCCGCGTCACGGCAAGTACATGGCGTGCTGCATGTTGTACAGGTACTTTTCAGCTTTCAAATCTCTATTATCAAATAACTTTATCTAAATAAAAATTATCAAATAACTTTATCTAAATAAAAATTTAAAAACTTTTACCATATTATTAATTCACTCTTCCCTCTTTTTTTGAAGTCTATAAATGTAATTTTTGTGTAGAGGGGATGTGGTACCTAAGGACGTGAACGCAGCCATCGCCACCATTAAGACCAAGAGGACCATTCAGTTCGTCGATTGGTGTCCCACAGGGTTCAAGGTACTAAAATATATTTTACGCATTTTTTCAGCATTGCCTTGTGATCGCAAACATCATTGTCTAGTTATTAATACTGTTTGCCATCATCAGGTGGGCATCAACTACCAGCCGCCTACCGTGGTGCCGGGCGGCGATCTGGCCAAGGTGCAGCGCGCCGTCTGCATGTTGTCCAACACCACCGCCATCGCAGAGGCCTGGGCCAGGTGATAACAGTTCATATTATCACATTATTTTACACCTTCTTAAAAAAGCATAGCAAATGGCTAAAAAAGTAGCGTGAATCTGCTACAGTTTCCATATGTAAATGTTGCCTATTTCAGACTGGATCACAAGTTCGATTTGATGTACGCTAAACGCGCGTTCGTGCACTGGTATGTGGGCGAGGGCATGGAGGAGGGCGAGTTCTCGGAGGCTCGCGAGGACCTCGCCGCGCTCGAGAAAGACTACGAGGAAGTCGGCGTCGACTCCACCGAAGGGGAGCTCGACGACGAAAATGAATATTGAATCTCTCATTTATAAATCCAAGACAAGTTATATTTTAGCAGTCCCAATACTAAAGAATTAACTATCATTGCATTCCAAGACAATGTAGCAAATAAAAAAAATGTTGCGTAAACTTTTTAGTAATCTAAACTTTAGTATGATAAAACGGAACGTAATAAAATTTTCGTTTTCAATGAAATGTCAGATGTCATCTTTGTTTTGTATATGTCAACGTAATTTATTAGATTTAAGAAAATTTAAGTGAGCTTTGAATGTTCGCATAGTTTCTTAATATTAACAGTACAAACTTTTGAAATATGATTTCCTCGTTGGAAATGCAAAGTTTGTAACTCGATAACGTGCGATTGTTTCATTACTATATGGCATTTATTAATTTACAAACGTGATAATATATCTAATATTCGTCTTATTGACTTCTTTAAAAATTTACTTAAGATAATGCTTTGTATTAAAGTAACATTATTATGAATAATTTATTTTTATTGCACATTAAACTTTTTACATTTAAAATGTATTTTTATTTAATGAGTCATGTTGGGAATGGGATAAAAACAATTATTATAATTCTATTGTTTATTTACAAAATTACACTTAATTGTATTTTGAACTTGTCTACATGTCTTTTAAATAAACTATGACTACAGAAAAATGTTCCATTATAATTCAAGTCTTCATAACATATTATTTACATTGACCTTTATATATACCCTTACAATTATTAACCATTTTTACTTTAATTAAAATTAAAAAGCAAAACAGTCTTAGAAGCACCATTAAATTAATAAATTCAGAAATATATGAATTCGGAAATTAAAACTAGGATATTAATGTCTTTTACTTTCTAACATCCTTATACTTATTAAGCACAATAATAATTATACATAATATATTTCTCAAGAACCAAGTTACCGCTATGTGGCGTATGAAATCTACTCCGGTAGTCATAGTAAATGGACTAATAGCAAAGAGCTCCAACCAACATCTTGGGAGGTCTTGCTAAGTTGCATTACGGGCCTGATTTAAACTGTACTTATTTTAGAAACCACACACATAATGAATTTCCTGGTTGCTTAAGTCATGGCATCCCCAGTTGTGTTGTTCTAATTTTTTTTAAATATATTACATAGAAAATATGTAAATAAATGCATATGTGTGATAATAATAATAAATCATTTTAGTACTGGTTTTTTAGACTGGAAGCCGAGGGTAAGTAAATGGCTTCATAGTTGTGAAGAGTGCAAGAAGGCTTTGGCACATCTAGGAACACAACAAATCAGTATTGTTAGACATTGGGTGCTTAATATAGCATAAACAAGTAAGCCACTTTTACAAAAAAAAACTTGGTCAATTTACTATACCCATTAATGACTAAAATAACTTTTTTGTCAATAAAAATATCTCATCAATATTAAAAAATGCTTTAACATCACAGAGGTAGCGGTAAATATAAATATAATTATATAAGTCCTTTACATAGTACACCTGCTTAATAATATGTATTACAATATCTTAAAACCAAGTCTTAGAGTTAGAATATGTTTATTAAATACATAGTAATCTCGTATTTAACATTTAGAAATTTATTACAGTAATTTTGTTTAATTCTATTAAAAAGTTGATATGAAAAATGTCATCTAAAATGCGATTGTTATATTTAAATTAATCTTTCATTAATTTAAAAACATATCTACTTGTAAAGTACAAAGAGTTCTTGTACAGGTTTTGTTTAAAAATAAAAAAGAGACCACTCGCACAAATGATTTCTGCATTGTGAATATAAAATATTTATATAAAAAATATGTACCTCAAAATGTATAAAGTTAAACGAGTCTATAATCGCACTGAGGGTGCACTGTGTGCTAGTCGGGCTTGGCATGCTCTTGTTGGTGCTGGTGCTGGTGCTGGTGGTCTGCGGCGCGGGCGAGCATGTTGGCGCGCGTGTCTGCCGGCACCGCCACTGCGCTGGGGAACCAGCCGCGCGGACCTCGCGCCTCATTCACCACCAGCTCCCCGAACAACCAGTGTCTGCAAACGTTATTATTTTAAGCTTCAAATTGAAATAATAATCTATGAACATAGCAAACACTAATAAAAACTGCTCTATTTCACGAGGGAACATTCTAACAATATTTTTTATCGAAGACCAAAATGTATGAAACTGACTCGCATCATTCACTTATTGTAAACTACTTTTTGCGCGTGACTTTATCCACGCAAAATTAAAAAAAAACTTAGTAGCTTATGTATTCTTCCAGACTATGTTCTGCATCTAGGTCAAATTTTAGCCAGATCTATTCACCTGTTCTGAAGATAGATTCTAACACACATCCATCCATCCAAACATTCGCGTTTGTAGTATTAGTAAGAAATAAGATAATGTTTCTAGTAGCGATACGGTTAAACGTTGTGATGTACCTGCGCTGTCTTGTGGCGCGCACGAGGTCCCCCGGGCGCAGCTGCAGGCGGGGCTCGGCGCTGCAGGGCGCGGCGAGTGCGGCGCGCGGTCTGCGCAGCGGCACCCACTGCCCGCCGTACTGCTCCGCCGCCACGAACAGCCGCGACCGCTGACGCTTCTCCTCCTTCTGCGCTATCTGCTCCATCTATACGCACACACACATTCTACATCCTGCTTCACCACTCTCCACTACAATTATAAGACAATTTATTATCAAGTAACAATCATTTCTGAACGCTCAAGGTCGACATCGTTACAGTGCCTTCCTCACGTATCTCTCTCAGTCCAATGAGATGTAACATTTTTTCTGTTTAAACATGAGAAGAATATGATTTGTTTCCCTCAAAAAACTTGCTCAAACTCAAATTGAAAGACATATAGATGTGATATTGCTAGTTGGATGTATGTACTTACAGTGAGGTCGTACTGTTGGCAGCCGAGACGCAGCGGCCAGTGCAGGCCGTCATAGCGGTGTGAGTGGAGCAGGAAGTGCAGGTTGCAGCGCCAGCCCAGGTCGTAGGGGAACAAGAACGCCGGCAGCCCCTGCTCCTCGCGCCGGCTCACGGCCTTCTCCATTATCCAGTCCTCAATCGTTGTTCGGTTGCGGAGGATGCCACGAATCTTGAAAAAAAAAACTAGAACTTACTCCCCTTTGAAATATAAACTTTATTAGTACCTTTATTCTATCCATCGTTAAAAGCATCCACGGCTCAGGGGCACTACACTTGTATTTGGTATCAATTTATTTTTTGTTACATGTACACTTATGAAATATTTTTACTATGAAGGACAACATCAAAGCAACCTTCGAAGGAATTAAAAATGTGTGAAGTCACTCGGACTAGTCTATTGGGGTTAATAACGCATAGTCACCCCTAACTTAGAGTATTATAGCGAGCTGATGATGATTCTATCCAAATCACCTGTAAATAGAGCAGAGTACCAACAGCCAGCACCACTCCCACCGCCATACCGACCGCCAGTAGCGTCAGCAGCAGTGTGGTGAGCGTCAGGTACACGATAGGCTCTTGGCCTGTGCCGTTGTGCAAGTACCACACGCGGTTGATAGCGTGGTACACACAAATTGACAGCACCTGTACATTAAATAGTAAGTTATCTAGTTCTAACATTTGTCATCATGTTGATATTGACAAAATTTCTATTTAAATTTGTGCAGCATGTATCGGGTGTAAAGTACACCAAAAATCTTATTCTAATTTTGACAGCCAGTACCAAACATAGGCGATATTAACATTATTACAAATAAGGATTAAAAAAAATAACAAATTACAAGATATAACATACTCGTGCTAGGCCCACTTTTTCCCTGTTTTGTTACCAAAAAGAAATTCTAAAACAATTTTAACCAAATTATTATAATAGGAGGAAGGTTGCCAGCAAGAGTGATGTAGAAAACAGTAAACATAGAGAAATATAATATACTCCATGTTAACTTTAGCATGTTTTAATATATGTTATATGCAATAACACTTACTATAGAAGCGTGCAAGCATCCCAATACAGCAGAGATCAGAAATAATGTAAAATAACCATGGTTACTGTGGCCCACGCAACAGTTTATCCAGGGGCAATGATGATCCATTTTCATAACACAGTAGCCACCTGAAAATACACCATTTGTATACACCATTATTTGTTAATTACCAGACCATATCTTAAATTATTATTTTTTTCTCAATCAAAAAAAAATGTTATTCACAAATAAACATGTTTAAAAAAAATTTACTAATGAAAACGGCTAGACTTCAGCAGGGTGGCAGAGACGGAAAGTAGGAAAGTGTAATTGTAGCATTTTATGAGTAGAAAGGGAGTTTATCTATTAATAATATATATTTTTTAAATTCAAAATAACCACGAATAATTGCAACATGATACTACTTTTGTTGGTTTCACACATTAAAAAGCAATGTAGCTTATTCTACTATATATTGAAAAACTTATGAACAATGTAAGGGAGGGATGGTAGCAGCTTTTGAAAAGGGTCTAGAAATACTGTACCAACAAAAAAAATATGCAAATCCGGGAGCCTTTTTCTCTGTTTCTTTGGCGTTATTTGAGTTTAAATACTAAGATTAACCCATGTTTTTGTTTATACCTAATGGATATTGAATAATAATAATTTTACATTGCCTGCAGTGATGTGATCGAGGTGCCTTGTAGCCTCTACATGTTGTACAATATTGTAGCTTCATAATGTCCAATTCATTGTCCTGAAAATCATTCAATAAGTTTTGGAGGCCATATGCCACAAACAGCCTACTTTTTTATTTTCATTCTTAATTTTATTATAAGTACAGATAAAATTACCTTAAAAATTTATATTAATTTAAAAATGACTCACTGGTCTCCATCCTAATGGAACAAAACCGGGTCCTTCCAGTAAAGATTGAAGGAAAAAGTACAGTGTGGAAACTGCTAGACTTAAGAAGGTAGCGGCATGTAGTGCTGCAGGGATGGACTCGTGCGGCGGCCACCACATGCCTATCAAGTGCACCATTGCCCATGTTATTAGCTTGATAATACCTGGGAAGATTATTATAAATCATAAGTAATAAAAATTTTAATACTTTTTACACTAGTGATTCATGCTGAATTTTCATAAAGATTTTGAATGATAGGATACTCAATAAATGTGAATGAGACCAATGTCTATCGTTTAATATTAATTTTAAGAAAATTCACTATTGTAAATTTATACCAAATGTCATCATCCTCATTTTTCTGTTCTTATCACAGTCGTGAGGGTCGGCGCACATGGTTGTTATAAACCTTAAGGTTTTGGCTTAGAATCTATAAATCTAAATTACATATATCACACAGTTTTATTACTTACATAAAACCGCAATAGGACCCCAGTGCAGTAGTCTGCGAAATGGAGAGGAACCCATTGTTATTTTAAACAGTTTCTGCGAATATTTGATCAGCCCAGTTTTTTTAACTAAAAACCACTAACTCATTTATAAGTACAACAAAAACAAAACTTCTTTATATCATTTTTAATGGTGCGAAAACATAGTTAGGCTAAAACATTAAACTTTTTATTTTTAAAAGAACATCCCCCGCCTTATCTTGCGGGCCCGGGTCATGTTTTATTATTGACATTTTTGACATCTTTCAGAAGTTCTTGACAGAATGAGTGATAGCTTTCGTTCAAAAAGTGAATTAATAAAACAATAATCCGATGAAAAACCGTCGATTAGTAGACTTTCAAAGTGCAAAAGCATAAGTAACTTTTTGACGAACTTTAATTATGCGGTTTCGCAAGTAAATTTAAAAGATTTACCTTAAAACTACGCCACAAATTAAAAAATAAGTTCAAAGAATTAAAGAATTTAGTAGATTTCGTATTTGAATACATGGCTACACTAGATCCACGTCACACAAGCAGTTGTCACATCACATTGCGATATTTTTGTGGCTCTTTTGGGTGTGTGCTTTCTTCATGTGTGTTGTGCTACTTATGTGGATTATTAGGTGATATTCTTGTTTTTACCGGGTAAGTTTCGGTATAGTATGATGTCACAAACACCCCACTAAAAAATCTTAACTTTACACCTAAGTGTATCGGAATGTACTTAACATTGCGCACATTTGGAACCCGGTGCCTACGAATTTAATGTAACCTTTCTATTACAGCTATTTGCGGGAAAACAATTCCAAACAAATGATATATGTTGATATGTGAAAGCTTTAACCATATCAGTGTGTTTACCTGTGTTTACCCAGTCACAAATTGAAAGTAGACGTCACACGGAGCGGAGACTAATGTCTGTCAACCGCTTTACTAGAGTTGGAATTCACTAGTGGAATTATTCACAAAATACTTTTGTCCTTGCAGATTGTGATCCTAAACCGCCAAGATGCCTAAATCGGTAAGTCAATTTATATTTACGTAGCATAAGTACACAAAAGTAGAATTCGCGCGTCGAATAAATTAATTGTTATAGATGCGTGATTTTACTGATTTCACCATTGCAATGTGACCAGGCAGCATATTAAATCATCGCACAAACATTTGAATTCTCATTATCAAGTCTCAAACATGGTACTGAGTAAATACATAAAGTGGCAAGTGTATTTTGAAGTTGAAAGTAGTTGGTGTGTTAAAAGTAAAAGTGTAGTATTAACATGAATCGATAAGAATTTATGTCGTAATGTAGGAGAGTTATTATAGGTTATCATATTTTAAATAGAGATAAGATGGAGATATTCTTATGTGATAAAAATTTAAACTTGTAGAATGTATAATATGACATGCTTGTATTACTGGTTGTGTTATCAATATTGTCTGAGGAAAGAAACATTAATGATAAATTAATGTTGTTAAGTTAATGGCATAAAATGAGATAAGCATTTTACAGGTCCTCGATGTAATTTTACAAATTGTTAGATCTTAGTCATCAACAGGTGGCTTGTTACATATAGTAAACTAAGGGATCAAGTATTATTTATAGACTTATATTTTAGTCAACCAGAAAGTTATTTAGACTTTGTCAGATTTCAATTTCATAATATTATTGTGATACATGTTGGAATTTTACCTTATTTGCGTTAACTAGGATATTGCCACTTAAAACCATTACCATATAAATAACAAACTTTCAAAGTTCATCAACAGCGATGTCATAGACATATTTTGTTAATTTTTCCAGATACTCAGTTATATTAGCAACGCATTTGACTTAAATGGCAATGACAGTACTATGGTTAGTTGTGTTTGACAATTTGATTTGCATTTTGATGTTATTTTGCCCTTTTAGATGTAATTCTTTTTCACTTTATGTAAATGCTAGTTAGTTTTATCAATGTTGCAATTAGTTGTGAAAAGATGAACCTACTAGAACTCTGTTGGTTAAAAATATTGTAAGTATGAATGCAGAATGTTTAAATAGCACTCATTATGTATAAAATAAAACATTTTTTTTTCTTGTAAATAAAACATTCATTGATATTAATTATAGTAGAGTGAAGATAATTATTTTGTAGATTTTTCTAAATTTATGCCTTTAAAAAATTATTTATTACGAAATTTCTCTTCTGTTCTGTTGAAATTAAGAATTTTTAATAGTTATAAGTTATGAGCATTAATCAACATTAGAAATAAATACCTATCGCCATGACATCTTAAAAGATAAGCTTTTATTATGACAGTTCATGGATATTAGGTGACGAAAAATACAACATGAAAGAATTTATTTCTTTCATTAACTATTTTACTTAACAAAGGATTACAGTAGCTATGAATTTGTGTTATATTAGTTATTGATAATGAATTCCTTACAATAAAGTTCATAACTACTAACTACATAGTACATATAAAATTATAATGAATCATAGCTGATTTTGTATATTATTGCTGTAGTACTCTGGCTGTAATAACTGAACCTCCTTCATGTTCTGTTTGTTTACTTTGTGGAACGTACATGTTTGTAAATAACCTATTTGTGAGTGTGTAGGTGTAGAACATTAGCTATTCAATTATAATTCAGTGTATGTGTGTGAGTGTGTGTCAAAGGCAACAGTGATTCTGCCACTTGTGTTATATAGTTTAGAAAATGAAGTTTATTCATAGTGATAATAATTTTATTAAAGTGTCTAAGGATGCACTTATACAAGCCACAGTTGTTAAGAAATTGGTGAGAAGTACTTTTTTTTTATTTTTATGTGACACTTCATTCAGCCTATTATCTTGATATGTCACATTTACACGTAACTGTTTATGGTTAGTTAAAAAATGTACATAGTTTGAATGAAACGTCTTTATCGTATCGGAGTGCGATGTTTGTTATGCCGACTATTGTGTAATTTCAAAACTTTACGTAAATTAAGGATAGTACACATGACACCTTAATTGACTTTTGTATACCTATAACGAAAAAAATCTAATTATATCTTAATAAGTCGTTAATAAGAAAAATCTGTTTATTCACACCAGAAATGGGTTTAACGGTGATAAAAAAAAACTTGATCTTTTCCTCACAACATGCTCGTAACCATGTGTTGACTTACGCACAACTTTCTTTTAACGCGTTTTGTCAGTTGCCGCGCAAAAAGGTTCTCAACGCACTTCCGGTCGCGTGGTTCAATGCGCTTATTATTATCAATGAATGTAACTTATGTACGTTTTAATACTCCGTTACAATACAATGTTCAAATTAATTTATTGTTCGATAGTAAGGTTATGTTCGAGAATGGGGTAGCTATTTCATACGCGTTAAACAGTTTTCTTAAAAGTTTTTTTAGTCTGCCTACCTCTTTGGGCGATAGAAATATTTTCATTCTTTAAAGCCGTTGGCTGTCTTCAAACATCTATTTAGCGTTGATCATTTTTATAACTCGATTTGCGTGAGTCGAACCTCTGCTATGAGAGTGTTTTATTCATTATGCAAATGTATGATGGCCCCCAGACTTTTTATAATGGAATTTTATGTCCTAGTGATTCACATAGTTAGCACTTCATGATTTTATTCGTAATGTCCACTTCGTTACTAAATTTTTACGTAATGTTTAGGAAAGAAGTGTACATATGTAAGTGGTCACATTTAATCGATGTGAAATATTAAGTACATATAAAAGTTTATATATAAACACTTGTCTTTGTGTCTTTAAATAAAAATTTAATCAATGTACTTCAAATTCTTCTGAAGATTGGCGACTGAGCTAGTTAGTGTCACTTCCTGGGTTATTTTCATCCGTTCAGAGCTCAAGTAAATATGTAAATATGTGTAAATAAGATTAGAGTAAAAGTTAGTTAAGAACAGTAGACAATGTAATCTTCTAATAATCTTTTAAATATGCAATTTAAATAAGCAACCTGTAATAAGCTACGGACACGAATGAGGGCTGTTAGTTATTTAAGTATGACTTAGAATGCATTCCATTAGCATTCATTTGTTCAAGTTTCAATTCCACCTCTAACAAGCCTTTGAAGGGATAAACGATGGATCCGATTCCGGTTACAGGAGCGTTACGAGTAAATCTTGTTACGTGCCTAGTGTGGACGTGCCCTAAGCACGCTAGAATGCGTGTCAGAGGAAGGAAACGGGAAAGTGGAACGAACGTTATCTGCTTACTGGACACTGCACCCATGCACTAAAGCTATACTTTTATAACAATCATATTCTGTTAAAAATTTATTGCTTGATCTATGTACTCACGTCCTAAATATTGCCATATAAATTATTTTCTACCAATTTTGGGAGTTATTTTATTTACTGATTTTTCACGCTCACATATCGATAAAGACACAACAGGATATGCATATTTGAAGGCGACATGAGTTTATCAAAATGCGAATGTTTAGATGGGTGTTTGTTTGAAGGTATCTCCAGAACGGCTGCATGGATCTTGCTGAAATTTGGTACATAGTCTGGAAGAACACATAGGCTACTACTTTTTACTGGATACTAGTTTTTTTTTTAAGTATGCGCAGATGGAGTCGCGGGCGACAGCTAATCTGGTATAAAACTTACCTATGGTACATATAATATGAATAGGCATAGTTAACTGAGTCATGGCGACGGTTAGAAAAAATGTAACATATAGTTGACGTGACGTCATAGTCCTTGATCGTATGCGGGAAGTATTCGTCATATTTTATTAAGTAATGACCGAAAATAAACTTATAACGTTTACGTACCTTTTAATACCGTGAATAGTCATTTGATGTCATGTCTACGTTAAATAACGTTTGCATCCACGCTATGGATAATTGAGCCTTTGAAGTTGTGAGTTATCAATGACACGAGCAACTTTCTTTCTGTCTCGTAGTCTATAATGAAAGTTTATCAATATTGTTATCTCCGTTTTTCAAAAACCTTTTTGCAGACATTCTTGCAGTGGAAACTTTCTTTAAAATTACAATTTTGATGAACGCACCGTCAGACAATAGTACCTTATGAAAAGTATTCGAACTACACGTCGCTTCTAGTTTTTAGTTATAACATTGTCTAAATTATAAATTGACCAGCCTTCTGTTTTAATTGTGCAATATGAATGAGTCTGCTCGTCTATATTTTATAGTTTTATTCGTATGTTTTTTCGCGGCATTCGTTGTTGCGTGTCATATTGAAGGGCGCACTGTGTATTGTAAGCCATCTACAATACTGGAAACAATTGCTTTTGAACAATTCGCACGAGAACGGGCTGTTGTCGTGCGGAGAAAGATTTTGTTACGCTCAACAACAATTATTGTGTCGACTTATATTTTTTATAGATCAAATTAGTGTGTAATGTTAGTCATATACTCTCATGGTCTTTTTCTAGGCTTTGATGTAATTCTCTGCTTTGCTTTGTCAGTGATCTAAAAACGGTTTTAATAGTAACAGACCCGACCTCATCTGACCTGTGGTAACCCTTGTTAAGACGTGTAAGTTGCTTATTGTGCAGCCCTAATGATAATTGCGTTTGAGATTGAATTGATATATCTTATGTGATGAAAATCATCTCATTTTATATCATTCTAAATAAAACCTTTGGTATGGTTTTGCAACAGAACCCTCGCCAGTAAAGTATATAATAAAACAAATTCTTCGATTATCGATTTATAGCCCGCACGACTCATAAAACTTCTTGCTTCGTCTGTGCGTTTTCGTCTCTTTGGATTGATGTTGCTTTTATTCACTAACAAAGTGAATTTTCAGATTTGAAAGGCTTCTAATTTAAGAGTGAAGAAAAGCTGATAGATGTTATGTGACAGGTTACAAAATGTGGTCAACACACATTGCTTCTCAGATTTCGTAGGTTTACCCCTTGTTCACCATCATTGACCGGCCTTGTAATATTTAAGTAATCAAGTTATAAGTTAAAGTTAAGGGGGAAGTAGTGCGGGGGTGGTATGGAGGCTCCGCCGCGCGCGCATTCCGCCGTCTCTGACTCAGTCAGTTGCCTGTGAACCGGCGCGAAGTACAGACGCGCCTTTGTGTTTCGTTTTCACCTGCCCAGGCGCACCCGGTGTTTGTGACCGTGACATTTTGTGTGCCACCACTGTGAATCCAACGCGACCACAATGGTCGCCGGCGGCAAACAGGTACATTACGTAACTTGCCTTGCTATTGTCTGCTTCTGCTCATTCAATATAACTGACCAAATGTTTTGTAAAGGGATTCACTTATCGTACCTATGTCCTTACACGTTTTTATATCGTGCGCTAATGTCTCGTATTATGTAATACTTTCGCTTTTATTAGCTAGCAACAGGCTCAATGTCAGTTGTATCGTTACGTGAATAAGTTTTCATGTATACTCAATTCATAAGTCGCGCTGATGTCATCGCGAGTGGCGAGGCAGCGCGCCGGCGCCGTCGTTGCCATGTCAATGCAAAACTCCGGGAACAAATCCTTAGGACATCGTTAATTTTATTATAAGCATCGGCACTTCATCGAAGAATTGAGTGAAAATTGAACTTCTCAACGTTGCATATCAGTTTATTAATTAGAATTATAGATTCTTTTAAAAATGCTGTATCTTCCATATTACCTAAATGTATGTTTTTACTTAAGACGATAAAATTATAATTGGTAGCTGCAATATAATATAGCTTCAGGTGCATCGAAATTTACCTTCGAAATACAGAGAAACCCTTTCAACTATACAAGTCCCGTCTCAAGACGGGGATTGGTTTTACTTTTATTTGTTTTGGGCGACGCGAACGCTCAACCGTCGTTTTATCCCCATCCCTGTCTACGCTGCGCGAGAGAGCGAGACGAATAGACTTTCCTGTTTCGCTAACGTTTCCAAGTTTAAAATATAATGTTCGCGAACGGAACGCGTCTTGTGAATTGGATTCGTGATCGAAGACGTTTACGTTATCGGTGTGCCGTCTTTATTGCTATAAAAGCAACGGTTTTATGGTGTTATTAAATTGTTTAAATGCTTCTACGTGTGAGGATGACATGCCTTGCCGCCGGACGCTTTATCTAATCGTCGTTTTGGCCCTGAATTAGCTACCATTGTTTATTGTGTCCTAAGTGCATACACACCAACGATCCTTGCTAATTTTAGCAAGCTTAATTTACTTAGATTATTAAGTTACGAGCATAGATTAAGGTTACATTATGACCCTTGTTTCAAGGTTTAATAAACTGGAATGGACTTGTTTATGTTCTGTCGTTGTGTATGTTTACTTCTGGTTAACATTATTAGATACCTTTGTCATGAATTACTGGAACGGAAATCGGAAAAAACATAACGATAAAATAATTGATACATATCGAATAAGTTTCGAAACCCTGATTACTATCAGTGAGGCCCACTATGTCATACTTGATACTAAGTTTAAACATAACATAAAGTTTTAATATAGGCAATTAATAGTGACGTTTCCGCAGTAATATTAACAATGATATTACATGGTAACAGAACAATGTTATGTACAATATAATGGTTTTTATCATAGTCACCGTCACTAAATCACGTGCGAAGGATGAGCCAAGGTTTTTCCTGTACCCGTGTAAACAGACGCAAAAAACTTACAGGTCACCGATTGTTCACAAATGAGCTACTAGTAATCTTGAGTAAAACTTATTATTATATTATAATAAAAAATATTAAAGTAATATAACAATGGGCTGGTCATTATAAATAACTTCCGTAGTCACTTTAACTAAATTAGGAGTTCAAAAATCCTTGTGACCTAAAGTTTGATCAATTAGGTTCTTAACGTCATACTACTAAGTAAAAGAATAGATTCACCCCCTAAATAAAGTGCATTCGCTCCTAAGCCATTCCATAACGAAAGTTAATGCACCGCATCGCTTCGCAGCGACACTTTATGTAGGATGGCAGATGTTGAAAATGTCTACAGTGCCTATTCTTTATCTCTTATAAATATTTAGACTTGTACTTTTATTTTAAATTTTTAAGCTAAGAAGGTTCTTGGTCTAATCGTATAAATACATGTCAGACATATGAAACCTTTGTTTTATAAACCTTCATAGGTGCGAAAGAAATCCGATTTTAATAATCTTGCCCGAAAATATTCTTGACGTTTAAAGACCCTCTTTATTATTTATCCCTCTTATTCGTTTGGCGACCGGACAGGTGACGACTTTTTTAAAACAAAAACGAACGTAAATGTAAGCCCTCAGTCTTATGACGCAGAAAAAAGGGGAAAAAAGAAATTCCTTGATTCTTTTCGATTGCAAATGAATTGTAAAATTGAGGAATATAAAGATTTTTTTTCTATTTTATGGAATTACGTTAATAAATTATTTTTTATGTTCTCAGCATTATAATGATACACAAAATCGAGGCAATATCGTCTGCTAAATATCAACCAAGCAATTAAATACCAAATAGTAATCTTTGCAAATACCATTACATATCATTTAGTTATTTATCTGATAAGGCTATAGTAATGATAATTTAGTCAATTAGTCACTACCTTCATAGTAGGTACAATACTGCCTACTGCAATTATTTTACAAGCTTTTATTTATTTCACCAGCTTCGATGTTTGTCATCAAATCTAGACATTAAAAGTCCACTTCCCGGATATTTTCCATACATGTGTAAATCGCGTGACAATGCAATACTATGATGGCATGGTGCTGATCTGATGTAGCTAGGAGGTGCATAGGAACTTCGCAATCAAACGACATAACCACGTCGAGTTTCGTTTTGTATAAATGGTCTTGACAAGTAGTTTGTCTATCCTTTTAATTTGTATATTTCTGTGGTGAAATCAATCGATCTATGTATACCTCGAGTCTATGCGGACATAATCACCATCTCTGTTCATTTCATAGGTTATGAGGAGGATGGCGAAGATTTTTTTATTACATTTGTTACGATAGTGTGGACTTACCGTAAACGCACTATGTCCGTGTTCACCAAACATTGTACCAAGGGTCGTGAGCAGGTGCGTATACTGACAGGTGCGTGCGTCACGCCTCTGCCTTGTGTCTTGCATGCGATGGAATTATCTATAATTCATCATGTACGATGATAATGTGATAGCTCTTTTTTATACATTTTAATTAATAATTAAAGTAAATTATATTGTACAAGCAATATCTACACTAAACAAGCTTTACATAATATTATAATAGTTGTTGAGGATTTGGATTGGTAGAAAATTTCTTTATTATGAATTGTAGATATTTTGTAACCTATTCTGCAGACTTGATATTAAGCAAAGAAATAAACTTAGATGAATACAGGCATCTTGTTTGGTCTATGATTTCATACGAAATTAATATTTATGTTAACGTAAAAGTGCGGCTAACTAAAAAGGTATTAGTCAAAGTGTTAACGGTACGCTTTATAGATAATTGGGTGTTCACTTGACAAGTTACAAAAGAGCCATAAAATTTTACAGTTTGTGGGACAGATTTAACACTACCCGTGAGTCAGGGCTTCGCCCCGCCGACTCCAAGCCGCCGATACAAAGCAAGTAGCCTCGCTTATCACTGATAGCGAACATGATCTAATGCCCCAACTATTTGTAACTATTTGTAACTCTAAGCCGTGATAACCACACGACCTTGCTTACTCAAAATGCTAACTCATAAGTATTACATTAGTCGCGTATATCTTATTTAATTTTGATAAAAGAGAACGCATTTGGTTTGTTATATCAAGCCTTAAATATGATTCAAAGATATTACTGAGCAAATCTTTAAAAGTATCGTAAATGGTGCTAAGATTTTGCCATGCTATGATTAACTTTATTAGCAAGTCAGTGAACAAACTTCGAGATATAAATCTTGTACTTTGTGATAGTTTACATTCTTAAGTGGATTCTTAACGCAAATAGTCATTCGCTTTAAAAATAATACAGTAGAAGAATATAATTAAGTCTTTCAGCATACATCCTTCTGGGATAAGCAGTTCATCCAATTTGGGACCAGCATAATTTTTAACTTAGGGTAGGCTCCGAGCTTCTCGGTGGGGACGTATAGTGAGCTGATGATGATAATTTTTAAATTGTCAATAATGTGTAGGTGAATATTATTAGTGAACTGTAATAAAATGCAAATTGAAATGTTTAGTACTACCAAGCTGTTTGGTGTAAGCCTCCTATAAATTATCTGAGTTACTCAAATACTACTTCTATGTGTATTGTTTTAAGGTACAGTTTAAAGTTGTGCAAATGTATTATTATCAGTAAGATAAATGTCACGTCGAGCTTTCTAATTAAAATGAGGGCGACAGCGTGCTATCACCTGAATAGTGTTAATTCATGATTGAAAGACACGTTTGAATCCGATTGCTTTTTGACATATTAATTTATATATTCCATATACGAATAATTAGATGGTTTGTCTTCAAATTTTTGCCAAAAAATACAACTTAATCAAATTTTAAGTAAGTAATAAATAGTATATTAGCAATTGCCAAAAAGTCTAGACTTTGTCTAGACCGAAGCGCCGACAGTTCAAATCTACATAAGTTTGTTGTCACTTTATTTTCTATCCTATTAGCCTTCTACAGCCTGCAGCGATATTTTACATTTTTATAACTAATATCAATCATCAATATGGAACCAAAGCAACATTTTTTTCTTAAAAAAACTAGATTGTTGATGGCGGTATAGACTAATATTTTTATTATTACTTGTCTGTTATTTAAATATAAAATACACATGTTCGTTATTTTCGATATTTCAATTTAAATTAGTTGTCAATTCCGTCTGCCTCCAATCAGTGTAATAATTATTATAAATATGTATTAGTTAGGTAAATACAATGTTAGGAAAATAGCAAAATAGTTTAAGACAAAGGGATGTTGAGGAATTTAAGTTGAAGTATTTATGTGCTAGGTTCTTATATACTAGTATTAGTAATCTTACATGATATTATATAATAAAATTGTGTAAATAGCAAAATGATTAGATATAAAATTATATAGTGCTTATGTAGTAGATTCTTATATACTAGTGTTAGTATTCTTATACATAGTGGTCATTATATAACATCGGCTTGTTGCAAACTGTGTGTTACTACTTTTGTTCGGCAATTGCTAGCTTCATCTAGTCTGGTCACGCGACACTAAGGATACCAAATACTAGTAATAATAGGCAGAGGTAGATTCAGAGACAAATACAACATAACTCACGCTCGTAACCCAGAAGAAAAAAAAAAGTAAGTAGATAGGAAAAGTGAAAGCCTTAAAGCTAAATTAATGATTATTTAAATAAAGGGTTGTTGTTAACATGCTTAAGGAATTATAAAAGACAATGTTTTGGAATGTTACTACTTATCAATTTATCATAAAAAAAAACTAATTTCAATGTATTATAGCTTAACTGTAACATAAATATGAATGTGTTGGTGCACTGGTAATCTAGTCTAGATTACGTTCGTGAGGTTATTGACATTCATGACTAATGACAGACGGACTGGTGGTTACAATGGTAATGTCTAGTCCGCACACTTTTTTGTCAAAGTGCATTACAAACATGGTATTAGCTACTACATATATCTGAGAACATTGAACAATTTGTAAGGGACTAAACTAAATCTAGACGTGAATTTTCGCTGCAACAAAAACTCAAGGAAAAAAAAAAGTAGAGATTAAATATTGTAGTATTCCATTTGTTTTTAACTGTCCTCGCTGAAAGTCTCTACTGTTGTTAAACTTTGACACTATAACCTCTAAGTTAATTTTACGATAACCAGGTTTGATGTTACTAATGGGGGAATTAAATCTTTTAATAAAACAGTCGGTAAAGCAATTTGTCGTTTGCATCTCTGCACAGTCACTGCTCTGTTTTACTTCCTATTACAAGTTTAAAATCACGCCACAGCAAGTACGCGTAATTGTCACTCATAAAACAATAAGGAAAATTACATCTAACAGCATCTAAGAGGCTTTAAGGATAGCTTCATGCAGCGAACAAGTTCGTAAGTCTTTAAATCTGCGATCTTCTTCTTGATCCATTGGCGCATTACACTGTTGGCTCGCGGGTTCATTGGCGGGTTAGTTTTGCTCGTCAATGAATCACCAGCTTTACAGTTTCTTTTAATAATAATGAGTTTATGGTCACTTTATCTTTCAATTCTGTAGTTTATTTTAATTAGCTATCAATGAACTTGTACGTTTGGAGTTCTATGGGCATTACGTAAGATTTGAACATAGCTTTTTAAGATGTTTTTATTGAAATTTGTTGTGATGAAAATAATAATTATTTTATTGCCTTCTCCTGAAGGTCCGACTGGTTGGCGCTATGTTTTATAACTATTATTATTATAAATACTGACCCTTTGATGGATTTAATAAAGCTAATAGTATCATTTTATTATTAGAATTAAACAAAAATTATGCAATATTCACGCGTTTTAAATCAATAAAATATATCACAAGGTGACTATTAAGTTATGTAAGGCAAGGAATACTGGTAAATCATCAAATCAGTACATATTGTTAGCACGTTTTGACGCTATAATTAGAATATAAACATATGGCGACCATATAACTTGCTTAATGTTACTGTACAAGTAATTACATCATCGTGCGAAATGTTGCAAGCTATTATCGCATCTGTTCATATGGAGATAACGTCTGTGATAGTCTGCAGGTGTTGGCCAGATATATCGGTGCCTGTGTTGACTGAGACATGATGTCATCTGCCGTATCTCCGACACGGTGCACTCTTTAAATACTTACTATTTACTCTATGTTATGCTTGCCTAGTTATATGTTGGAAATCTTACTAATATTATAAATGCCAATGTTTAGGTGGATGCATGTTTGTTAGAAGGTATCTGCAGAACGGCTGCATAGATCTCCTTGAAATTTGGAATAGATATAGAACGTATTCAGGGAGAACACATTGGCTACTAATTAAGTTTTTTTAATTCCGCGCGAACTGAATTGCTTAATTTAAATAAATAAACATGTTGATATTATGAATTTAGTGACATAGTCGATCAGTACAAATTAAATTTTCCATTTGTAAGGACAAAACAGTCGTTTCAATTATCGTTGATCGCGTATGTCTTGAATTTCCTCTACACGTATGTATGTAGCACCTTGGCGGCTGGCCTCAGTCGCCTTGACACATCGACGGCAATTGTGGGTTTTCGATTATCGCTTTAACTTAACTATATGTCGCGGTAAAATTTTATTTTATTGTAATAAATATTTTTCCTGTAGAAATCTTACGGGACACAATGTTGTCGTTCTTAGAAAATTGTTGTATCATTCACACAGTCCTTAGCCGTTTATTATAATATGTTATCTCTATTTTGTTCAAAGTGAATGAATGAATGACAATCATACTGAATGCGAATTTTTAGATGGATGTATGTTTGTTTGAAGTTAAATCCAGAACGGCTGAACGGATCTCGATGAAGTTTGGAATGGATGTAGAACATACCCTGGAAATACACATATGCTATGAGTAATGGCTTAAGTTTAATTCTGCACAAACGGACTCGCGGGCGACAGCTTATATATTTATATAGAAGAGTTTTGAAAGTGTAAACCCATAGCTACATTTTATTCAATCGATCTCTTATGTATTGTATTAGGTCTCCGGTTAATTTGATGTAGGCTTGAGATGAAACGAATTTTTATTATTTATTATTTTCACACTTAACACGTTTATCATGGTGTTGATAAGGGCTCATCAAATTGTTGTCGAGTGTATGACAAATGACGTAATATATCGGAAAATTTTTCTCCACTCGACGTAACTGACTTGAGAATTTATGAATTTTGATCAACGGTTTACATACTTTTGACTATTTCTTTCCGGTTTCGTTACTTTTTAAACTATTTTAAAATTAAAATATAACCCCATTCAGTATCATATAGTCAAATAAATAAGTAGAAAGTTTACCTTTAAGTAATCGTAGAAAGGCAAATTCTTAAAACATCTTACTAATATTATAAATGCGAATGTATGGATGTTAGAAATTTGGCATATATGTAGAACATAGCCTGGAAGAACACAAAGGCTACTAATTAAATTTTATTTAATTCTACGTGGTCGGCCTTGTGGAGTACAGTAACTAATTATAATAATAAAAATAATATAAAACAGTATAGGTACACGGTTTAGTAAATTCCGAAGTTTATCACTAATACTGCAAGCACGAACGTTTTTTCCCATCGTCGCCAGTGCCCCAGTTAGGTAATTAAAAAAACACCATCATTAATTTGGAATAGTTTGTACACATACAATAATGCGTCGATTAACGTAAAATATCTTCGCAACAATATGCGGGCGACGGCGGCATGACATGACTATTAGCCGGTTTTACCGAATTTAATTATAACGCCATAAATTACGCCTGTTATTAAATAAAATGTATATTACAACTGCCATAAAAATTACATCGAAGAATAATTATTGTAAGAAATATCATTACGTGTATGTAACAATCTTATGTACGCTGTATATACCATGAAGGTACATATATCTTTGACCTCGAGTGCGATAGAGCGAACGGCGACTCGCGAGCATTGTGCAACAGAGGTAGATCTCATCTGCAACTTCGATAGATTTACGATGACGTACACCGGAACGGCTTATCGCTAAACTACGGCTTTATTACTTGAGCTGCAGAGTCGTTATCTCATATGGGAGCTAGTAAACAATGCCTATACAAAATATCACCGGTTTTTGTTGAGAGATTTTGTTAACGATCCACATCAAATACCACTGTTGTCATTTTTACCCGCCTTCCCTTGAAGTCGTGCTAATACAATAGTACAAAAAATATGCATATATCAATTGGTCTAAAATATGTCAAAATAAATTGTAAAAAAATTGTGAACTTAATATCCGTATCCGAGAACAAAATCCCCGTTTAACATATTGTTATATCCGTTTTGTCAAATTTAATGACAGCGATGTCAATGTATTTTAAAAATTTTAGTCTCAGAAACCAAGAGTTAGACGTTCTGTTCGCAACGTGGCTTGAAAATATATTTCATAATTCAATAAATAAAAATCTTTATCACGATTTGATCTCGGCATACACACGAGTGTGAGGTCAAGTTCAATGCCGAGTGCTTGTCTGCACCTTTAAACCTGTTTCGTTTCCATAACACAGGAAAATTTACTCGACCCACGCGCATGATATTGGCCGGTTCTAAAATAAACATGCACTCAGTTGCATGAGTCATCCCGTTAAACAAACATATGCGTTCGCTCCTGATGACCTTTGCGGTTCTCTGTTTATTCCTCACATACCTCGTAATGTGAGGTTAATCTCTAATTCAAAAAAGTCAAAAACGCTGTTGCATCCATACAACCAAGCACAAATAATTAACAGTTTAAACTAAGATAACGTTACTAATCTTGCTAGTAACGTTATCTTGCTTCCAAATCAAAAAAATTGCAACCACAATTCGGTGTCTAAATAACAAGGGGGGTTAGACAAAGTGCATTCGTTCCGAAGCGATTCCATAACGAACTTCAAAAATGTATGGAACTGACAATAACTTTCAATAAGCCATCGCTTCGAAGCGAATGCACTTTGCCTAATCCCAAGGTTCACTTTTATACTAAAACAAGAGTCGAAAAAGACAGACCATTTAAAACAGAATTTTAAGCAATTTATCTTTCTAACGCTTTAGGTTATTGGCTTGTTCTCTTTTATTTTTAACTTTGACACGACAATAACAGATATCCATGACATAATTGCCCTCGGAAACAACACATCCGTTTTGGCGGCTCTCCAACGACACAAAATTAGCGCCCAGTTTATTAAGGACCACGATTCTCTTTTTTATTTTTGTATCACACCAGGTTTTAGATGCGTTTTTCCTTTAATTTTACTCTCCGCTTTTGGTAATATGCTACTCTGTGATCTCTGGTATGGCTAAAATTAGCAGAAAAGACCTAACTTCTATAGGAATTTGTAAATATGGGCTATCTACTTCTACAAATATAAAATCTCTTTAGCAGTACTTCGATTTGACTTAGCCGTATTTAGGACCAAATGCCTGGTAAACACATAAATAGAAAGATAATTGTTGTCTTGAAGATGTTACTGACATTGTATAAATATCGATTGTTATTCTTGTAACAGATGAACGTCCGCGTGACGACGATGGACGCGGAGCTGGAGTTCGCGATCCAGCAGACGACCACAGGCAAGCAGCTGTTCGACCAGGTGGTGAAGACTATCGGCCTGCGCGAGGTCTGGTTCTTCGGTCTCCAGTACACCGACTCCAAGGGCGACCTCACCTGGATAAAGCTCTACAAGAAGGTTAGTAATGTCTCATACAACATGCTCCTTAAGTATTTAATTTCAAAACTAGGAGAAAGAAGAGATTGAACCAGTTACGTTTGGCTTAAAGTTAAATGTTAGTTTCGTAGCTGAAAACAATAATTTTGATAAAGATAAATTTCGCACTAAGATTATCTAGTTTATGTTTGTGTCAGTTACCAATTGTGATGTTTTTATTAACTATTACGTTGTTTACGGTCCGGCAGCGGGCTACTACGCAATAAATTATATTTAGCGGATGCCCCAAGTTCAAGTTTGTTGCGCGCTCGCCAATTTGTACGGTTGCCGGCGCCTCGTGATTTACACAACGCTCGAGACGCTCCACTTTGCATACAACCAAGTCTGTTTTCAGTAAATGTTTCGTATAACCGGACATTACGGAATTGCATTATAAATATACAAGACTCGATACTTCTCTTTAACAGTTGTAGAGAAATTCTGTATTAGTTCACGAAGGAACTGTTTTTTGTTTCAGTAATCGTTGTTATTTAACTAACAAGGATTGGTTACTAATAATTGCATCCACTAATGTCTTGTACTTTTAGGTTTTAAACGTAACGTTCGTTTTCTATTCACATATCAAACTGTCAGCTGCATAATTGCAATCAAAATAACTATTAGTCTTATGGTTTCCCTCAATATAAACATGTGTTGTTAAAATATATTCGTCGTAAATATCATCAGCATTGGCAAAGTATTTATGTACAAGGAAACGTTTATTATTCAACGTGTATTATATTGTTTTCGCTGACTTGCGCTGAGTTATTTTCCTTTATAATATCCTCCGACATTGACCCGGTAACGCAATGCCAACCGGTATGTCAGCAAGTACATAACCCTCATCTCTTATCAACGAGGACGGTGATATATTTGTCATAGTTAAAAATCTTTATGAATATTCACTAAGGTCAGTTTTATTTGACACTTTCTCTTAAATATGTCTTAATGAAATTCACGATTCCAATATATCATAACAGTATTGAAGGTTAACTTACTTATGGTGTTTCGGAACGTGTTCTTTTTCTGTAATGTCATTTAATGCCCATGTTATAAGATATAGTGTTTGTCTAGTTAATAATTTCTGACATCGGATGATTGAATGAATAGACACTTGCAAACAGGTTTATGTTTGGTGGGTTTCTTTTCCGTATCTATATTGTGAATCCTTATTAATAGTAATTTTGCAAAGTTTTGTCGCATTTTTGACTTCTATACACATATTTCTTACGTATTCAGGCGACGGTGTTAGTTTTGTACTGATTAAGAGATTACATCGATTTAAGTCGAGGCAATAATTAGATTAATGGTGTTAGTTAGTTAGTTACATTTTCATCAAATCGGTTTGTGTCACGTTAATTGATAGTTTGGAAGTTTTCATTTCTAGTTTCGTTTCGTCTTTAGTTTGTAGTTGATGTTCATATAATAGCGTGTCATTTGTAAATGGTTGGGGTAAAGACGTCCAGTATCCACGAGCGCAGTGTAAACAACCATTCAATGGGTTGTCATGTGATGTGGCCGCTACAAACGCTGACTCACCATCAGCCCCTGCCTGTCTTATTGATAAATACGTACATACTCCATAAACTGACCGACCTCATTGTTATTTGTAGTTTTAACTAAATTGTCTCATTCACTCTCTTAGATTTACTTGATTTATGTCAAATCTAACCATATTTAAATAAATATTAAGTATTGCTTCAAAGAAGTCATGATCTCATCAATTAACTTTAGTTGGTTTATGTTAGTTGTTAACGTTCGGACTTCCAACAATTGAGCTTTACTCTAAGAGCGTATGAGTCAACTTTTTTTCATACGGAACGTTATGAATTCAACTTATAACAACAAAGTAAAAATAAGTCAGAAGAATATTACGTATATTAAAAATTAAATGTCTATTAAATGATTGTCGACGGCAGACAATACGACGCGTTTCCATTTTGATCCAGTGATCTGATATTCCAGTTTACGCCGGTGTCACCCCATCGTAAGCGATTAGTTTTTTTCTCTGGAGACATCTTGACAATGAGTCGGCTCGCCGCTGCGTGTTGCTTCGTAATGTATGCTCTAGCGATTGCACTCGATTCAAACGCACTAGTTTCACTTATCGTCAATTACTTTGGAATTAATCAATGATTTATTTTAGCATCTATTTGTGTACTTCAGTGGCTTTACGATAAATATTCAGTACAAAGTTATCTACTTTTTTTATTAAATTCATATGTGTTTATTACACTATACGATAGAATTCTTAAATATTACTATTCAATGTTATGAATGGAAAGTTTAGATGGATGGATAAATGAATGTTTTTTTAAAAGTTACTCGAGAAAGGCTCCATGGATCTCTCTGAAATTAGGTATAGATGGATATGTTTCAATTTCTTCAACTCCATGGCTATTGTCAGTTTAAAAATAACTTTTTCAAGTGGTTAGTAGTTGTTATATAATCGATGCACCAGACGTTCTGTCACAGTAATCATCTTATTTGAAGTTTTTCGTTCCTTTTGTAATGATAGCCGACAGTCTATTGTGGCCGATGAATCAGTGTCGAAGCTGTACAATGGTTGCGTCGGTTTTCAAATGTTAACCGTTAACGGCCACATCTCAATTATTTTAAGTAAAATGTTTATTGCTATAAACGAATATTATTATATAACTATTATTATAAACGAAATTAAATGTATATGTATTAAATTGTATATAATGATCATAGTAGGTGTTCAAATATTGTATAGAAAGTAAAAGCAAGATGGTATCGACATTGTTCCACTTTCTTTTGTTACACCTGTCGTTTTGTCTGCGACAAAAACTGGAGCTGTTCGTAATTGATGTAATTTTTATTTATATATATTATATAAAGAAGAATGTACCTATAAACATATAAGGAAAAATTATTTCTTATTTTAGTTAAAGCTCTAGGCTTCCAATAATTTTTCAACGTATTCTGTTAAAATAGGAAAGTTTTTAAGGGTATTTTATTTAATTTTCCTGTATACACCGTTTTTCCTTATACCGCATCGCGAAGAAAGCGTCGTAGGTCGCGTGCGCACTTATTACATAAGTCCACTTGAGCAAGGCCTCTCTGACAGGTATGCGGGCAGTGCCTGCGGTGCAAGTCTTTGCAAGGTACTGGGCACGTGCCGCATTACACCATCCATACCCTACCACTCACTACTTACATACATGGCTGTAAAATGGGTACGAATTTTAAACTCTCTTGTTCGATTGATTTAAAAATCTGACCTTTTATAAATTTCAGTTTTTAATACAAAATCGCAATTTAACTAAATAATTAATTCGCGCTTTGATTCACCTGGCACGTTCCGTTATGACTAAGTATAATGACGTATCGATAATTCTGCATAGTTTATACTCATAAATGTTTTCTTTACCATTATCAAATTCCAGTACTTTGATTCATTATTTCCGTTTAATCATTGTATAATTAAAATTATTACAAACAAATTATTGTTAACAATGACTCGTAATTCGATAAGTAATAAAAAAGATTCTTATAGATACTTTCAGAATTAATTGATCGAGATAAAACCGGAATTTCTACCAATTTAATAGTATTATTGAAGTGGCAACACTGATCTGCGAGCAGCGGGAAAGTTGTCAGGTCTCGTCGCGTACGATTTCTCCGGCGCTAATGTTGCGGCACTGTTATCCAATCTATGGTGTCGCGCGTGCCTTTAGCTATTTGTGGAATGTCGAACTGATTGCGATATACCCCTATGTAATGCGTTTCTAAATTTAGTCACAGATAAACTTGGTATTGTATTCTTTGATCTATAGTATAGGGTTGTCACATTATTTAGATTCGTTATAAACTAGTAGAATAAGTAATATAAAAGTAATTATAATGTACTATGAAATAAAAGTTCCTGATTCTTGAGTAAAATGTAGTAAAACGTTGTAGTAAATTTGATAGATTTTGCATGATAATTGTTTAAAATTATTCATGTCTTAAACAACAAAATTTGAAACGACTTACCATAACTTAAGTCATTGTAACATGCAGGTTATTGTTAGCAGCACGGCCCACATGCAATGACATCACTCGAGAATGAATGTATTTGTCATGTACATTGTTAAAACCAGTTTTGTGATACATTTCAATATAATCGTATATTGATGAAGTTTGTGAGATGATGATTCTACGTGTCGTATTTAAAATTGTTTTGCAAAAATAGGCTTGAGAAAAAATAAAATGTATACTAACTTTGATTTTTACTGACGAATTAATGAATAATGGAGTAATGCAGGTTCAGATTCACTGATGTAATAAGTCAATACGCAGTACCAAAGGCAAAATTTTCTAGTACGTTCGATTTACGATATCGAGAGGTACATTATGAGATTCAATAATGTTTTGCGTGATTACAATCGTATTTATGTTAAACGAATGTTACATACACTGAGCGAGTACAATCCATTGATGTAGATTTGTGACGTAAGCAACCTCCCCCCCCCTACTAAATGAAATAACTTTACGTTTAACTAACGCACTCAGAATCGTTTTAAGTGTAAACTCCGGGGCTCCCTTAGTGATCACTTCTTACATCTTATGTGGATTTATGAATGTTTATTAAAAGGTATCTCCAGAACAGCTCAACGAATCTCGATGAAATTTGGCATAAACGTAAAACATAGTCTGGAAAAACATGGTAGCTAATTTTCTTTTTTCTTACTTAATTTATCAGGGACGGAGTCGCGGGCGACAGCTATAGTGTATAAATATTTGTTTTCAATGGTCGCTTATTTCTATTACATTGGGCTATCAGATCGTGGTGCGATTATCATTGACCGATAGAGCCATGATTCGCGGCGCGTTACTACGAATATACTAGTGTAAACGTCACACGCACTAAACCCGATGTACCGATAGCGATAAACATCGTGATAGTATCCTGTTACATTCGTGACTTATAAAAAAATATTATAAAAAAACAATATGCTCAACTATGTATAGTAAAG